CAGTGGGGGGGGGGAGGGAAATGCACTGGACTATACTGATGGCACATGGGTGATTTGGTGATGGGAAGCCCATGGGAATTACAACTGAAATTAAAAAATGCACAAAATGATGTAAAAATAAACAACTATATTATTTATTTAAAAATAAAATTAGCAGTCACATATAGTTCCCGAAAAGAGATATGTTTGAGTACTCACTGTCCTATTAGAAGTAGGTGACTGAAATCAGTGTGAAATGTTTTAACAGGATCAGTGCTTCTTTATTGTAACTTAGAAGAGTCTGATCAATGATCAATGTACACAGCTTGGGGGGGGGGGTAACCAGAAATCTATGTTCTTGCACAGGAGTGAACAAACTTCTTTGTATTATAAAAGCATAGAGAACAGATATTTGCTGTGTCATATGTCTCTATTTCAGCTACTCACCTTGTAGCGAAAATGAAGCCATAGACAATATGAAATATGATTTGTGCCTCCCTTTTTCAATACAACTTTAATTTACAAAACAGGCTGCTGGTTTGCAAACATCTGTTCCAGACACATGAAGTGGCATACATTAGAACCTCAATGAAACATACTATAACCTCTCTTCTTTATGGTTCCTCATGACCTAAAGGGCCATCCATCTGGAAGTGGGAGCCCTAGTACTGGGATCGTGTGCCCTACATGACAATTCCTGGAAGATAAGCACCAACAAGGGCTATGGATATAGTCATAGGACAACAAAAGGCCTTGCTTTCCTAACTAAATACCTGTATTCAGGATCGGACACACAATGAGAAACTGACAATCTAGCTTCTGGGATTTATTTCTTATTTTCTCAGAGGTCCCAGGGGCACATTTTAACTCCTTGGCCAAATCTGTCCTGCAGGTTCTCAGAACCCCAGCCTATGATATTCTGTGGCTTCATCCTAACATCCTAACATGTTCACTCTGTACATGCTTGCTCACCTTGACATGCTTCTGGCTAATACACACATCTTTCCTTCTCCTGTAATTCACTATGTACTCTGGTGTCAAAAGAAAATCAATATTCACAATACACAGTGCTATATATACTATTAACAGAGCCATTGTTTATGTCTCAAGAGGGACATTTACCAAAGAGTCTGCTACTAAACAAACTGCAACTTTAGACTGCTCTGTTATAAGTAATTTTTAAGAGTATCTTCTTGACCCTACACATCTGACCTCATCCATGAAGTGATACAATGTGATTATCTTCTACTTAGTGAGCAGAGACAAGCAAGGATAGCAGTTACTGCTACAATAGAAAATTGTAATTAGCCTAGAGTTGTGAAAGTGATAAAGGCTTTTCCTAAAATGGGATTCTACCTCTGTCGTTTAACGCTGGACAAAAGAGAGACCAAGCCTGGGCATATAAGAAAAGAAAGCAAATCACTTGAAGGGGGAAAAAAAGAAAAAAGTATCTGTGCAAGTATTTCCATAGGGATAAAGATATGATTCTGAACTTGAAGTTAAATATGAGCACCAAATTAAGTTATACAGTTAATTTTCCTGAAGCATCATGTTATTTTAATCATACATATATGCATATATATATATATATATATATATATATATATATATATATATATATATATATATATATATATATATATATATATATATATATATATCTCCATATATAATATAAATATGTGTTCCAAAATGGTTTAGTAAAGTCTAGCTCTTGCATTTTGGGATTAAAATATACTAGAATATACAACAAAAGTTGTAGCTGTGTAAATGACCCTTAAAATCTCATAAAGAAAACTATTATGGTCAACTTTAATAACAAATTGGGATCATTGTACATTATAATGACTTACCTGTAAAATTTCACATGAGAATAAAGCACTAGCTGAAGTTTTTTGTTTTCTGTAGCCCATGCTTTAGTTGAACAAATTGCTGTAAGCTATTAAACAGAAGAACAAAAAAAGAATATATGGATTAAATAAATCAACACTGGGCATTATGAATCAATGTTCTCTAACTAGAAAGCTGCCAAAGAACCAAATTATTACCCTTTTCATATTTGTAAGAACATGATCCTCTCTTCTTCCTCTCAAATCACCTAGTTCATCTACCCTGAAATTACATTTTGTCATTGTTTTGATAAAAGACTTTATTTTCAAGGCTACAATTACCCAATGGTGTATTCACTTGAATGAACCTTCTAGTCTAGGAGACAAAAATGCCAAGGTCTCTTACCTCTTAATACTAAGTAGTATCCTTTTCTAGACTGAGCAAGTTCAATTTGCACTTTATTCAGTCGTCAGTACATTTGAGAACACAAATTCAGTTACCTGCTTCTAAAATGCCTGGACAAAGTTAAAACAAACTTCTCAGTTGAAGACTGCAAAGTTAATTCTTTCTTACCGCTGAAGTAGAAAAGCATATATATATATATACACACACACATATTACATATAATATATATAATATATAGTTTTATATATATTATATATACCAACTATGTGTTTTGTGTGTGTGTGTGTGTGTGTATAGGAGAGAGAGGGTATTTGTTCCTTGCTTGAGGCTATTCTGCACAAAGCAGCCACTTCCTAAACCCTGTTGCTAAGTGCAGAAAATACTGAAGAAAGAAAACTGCCTCTGCCCAGCAATTTCCCTCCTATTACAGCAGTAAGGGGTGGAAGAGAAAGGTCGTGAAATGCGATCTATGTTTGCTCCTGACACCACTCCTTACTGTTTGGAAAAGTAAGACTCCACTGCACGTTTTAGATTTATTTTAAAACACCTTGTATACTTCTTAGGAGTGCTGCTTATGATCAATGGCCCTAGCCTGTCAGCGAAACCTCTCCGCCCAATTTGTCCTTTCTCCTCCTTAGGTCCAAGTTCCTCCCAAACGCCCCAAAATCGGGTCCCCAGCCCTTCCCTAGGGCCTAGGGAATGC